TTGGATTGGTGAACGGCCTACCAGATGATTGGACACTTAGCATATTAGGCTTTTATTATATAGGATATACTGTAAGATTTTACAGACACAGTACATATCCTAAACCCTGAAAACTTTAGGCTACTCTTTTGCACGCACTTTTGCTATCTTCATTAGTGTCTTTTAAGACAAAGTTGGGTGTGACTCAGTTGGTTAGGTGTTGTCACGCGCACCAAAAGTTTGCGGGTTCCATTCCCGGTCAGGGCTCATGCCTGGGTTGCAGCTCAATTCCCAGTAAGGGGTGTGCAGGAGGCATTCCATACATGTTGGGTTCTCTCACATGCTGCACTCTTATGTCGATGTTTCTCTCTCCCTCTTCCTTCTTATCTAAAAATCAATAAAAAATCTTAAAAAACAAACAAGCAAAACACAAAGCTTTTGAACTCAAAAGTAAAGGTTAACTTTAAAATATCTGAGTATAGTCAGGATTCCTAAAATAAATAGAATGCCTTAATATAGGGTGGGGCAAAGTAGGTTTATAGTTGTGAGTACACAAAACAGTTTATTCTTGTATTATTATTTATTAATTAATGTATTGTTTTCCATATGAACAACTGTAAACCTACTTTTGCTCCACCCTGTATAGTCTCTCAAAGTTATTATATACTAGAGGCCCGGTGCCCAAAAATTTGTGGACTCGGGGGGGGGGGGGGGCGGTCCCTCAGCCCGGCCTGTGCCCTCTCACAGTCTGGGACCCCTTGGGAGATAACGACCTGCTGGCTTAGGTGGCAGAGGGCAGGCCCAATCCCTAGGTGCAGCCCCTGCAGCCCCTGGTCGAGCTCAGAGCAGGGCCGATTGGGGGTTGGGGCACCGCCCCCTGTCACACTCAAGGCAGGGTCGATGGTGAGGTTGTGGTGCCACCCCCTGTCATGCACAGAGCAGGGCCAATCAGGGGGTTGGGGCGCTGCCCCCTGTCACGCACAGAGCAGGGCCCATCAGGGGGTTGGGGAGCTCCCCCCTGTCACTCACAGAGTAGGGTCGATAGGGGAGTTGGCGCACCGCCGCCTGTCACACACAGAGCAGGGCGGATCAGGGGGTTGGGGCGCCACCACTCTCACACTCAGGGCAGGGCCGATGGGGAGGTTATGGCTCTAGCCCGTCACACACAGAGCAGTGCCCGTGGGGTGGGGGGGTTGGGGCGCCGCACCCTGTCACACACAGAGCCACAGGGCAATCAGGAGGTTGGGGAGCTCCCCCCTATCAGGCACAGAGCAGGGCCGATCAGGGGGCTGGGGCGCCTTCCCCTGTCACGAACAGAGCAGGGCCGATAGGGAGGTTGTGGCCCCACCCCCTGTCACACACAGAGCTACAGGGCGATCAGGGGGTTTGGGCGCTGCCCCGTCATGCTGATCCCCGTGCCGGGAGACCTCGCGGCTCTGCGGATCCCAGTGCTGGGAGGCATACTACCCTTTTACTATATAGAAAAGAGGCCTGGTGCACGGGTGGGTGCCGGCTGGTTTGCCCTGAAGGGTCTCCTGGATCAGGGTGGGGGTCCCCACTGGGGTGCCTGGCCAGCCTGGATGAGGGGATGATGGCTGTTTGCAGCTGGTCACACACCCTTCAGGGTGGGGGTTCCCACTGGGGTGCCTGGCCAGTCTGGGTGAGGGGCTGAGGGCTGTTTTCAGGCTGGGACTGAAGCTCCCAACTGCTCCTTTTTTTCTTTTTTTTTCTTTTTATTCTGAGCCAGCTTTAGCTCTGAGGCTCCAGCTCTTAGGCCTCCGCTCCTGAAAGCAGGTATCTGGTTTGTTTCGGTTCTACAATCGAAACTCTGTATCAACTCCAGGTCTGAGATCCTGGCTAGCTGAAAGCTGGTTTCTGGGGTTTTGTTTAGCTTCTATTTTTGTAACTATGTTTCAAATTGCCAGCTCAGAGGCCTGCAGCGGCAGGCGGGGAATGTTGGAGTCCTCCGTCACTGAAGCAAGCAAGCCTCATGTTAGTTTCAAGCTGCCTGGCTGCCGGCCGCCATCTTGGCTGACAGTTAATTTGCATACTGCCCTGATTAGCCAATGGGAAGGGTAGCGGTTGTATGCCAATTACCATGTTTCTCTTTTATTAGTGTAGATTATACACCTTTGACAAATACATTAGCCAGAGTTAAAAACTGAGTGTTGAGTAGGCAAAAATTCATTGGATGTTTAGGTTGAGTGCAAGTATTGTCCTGGTAATGGAAATGAGAAGTCTTTTAAAAACTGTTTGGTCTTAGTTGCTCAAATGGATAGTCAAGAGAGCTAGCATTCTGGTATACAGGTACATCACAGAAAGCAATATTGCACTGACTCTGCAGGGCAACGACAAGAAAGTGTTTTTATTAATAAATAGAGTATCCCTTTTTCCAAGTATGCGTGAGTTCTAAAGTACACATAAAAATAAAAGGTAAAAATAAAGACTCAGTGTAAAACAAGAACTACTTTAAGTCAATTTTATATTTGAATAAAATATACAACAGTTATCTTTTACTAATTTGAAATGTCCTTAGTGAGTGACTGGTCTTTAAACACAGTGGAAGTGGGCCCTGGCTGGTGTGGCTCAGTTGGTTGGAGTGTTGTCCCGTACATTGAAAGGTGGTGGGTTCGATTCTGATCCGGTCACATACCCAGGATGCAGGTTTGATCCTGAGGTCAGGGCGCATGAGGGAGGCAACCAATTCATGTTTCTTTCTCTCTCCCTTCCTCTCTCTAAAATCAATGAAAAAGCATATCTTCGGGAGAGGATTAAAAAGAATAAGTAAATAAACACAGTGTAAGTGGGACTCTGGCATTTTCCCAGTAATTTTTCTGAGCACTTACACACACACCAATAAATTATTTCAGAAGTAATGATCATGAACAGCTATTAGAATTTTAATGCTAACAAATTGTGCCATACACTTACTATTATTGTAGGGAGGAATCAAATAAAATCAACTGAAGTTGAAATTAATATCCATTAGTTATACTGGCCAACAGTTGAAAAATTCTTCTACTTCAAACGCTGTACCACAACCGTTATACAGAGTTATAAAGAACTGATAGTCCCAGCTGGTATGGCTCAATGGTTGAGCCTCGACCCATGAACCAGGAGATCAGGGTTTGATTCCTGGTCAGGCACATGCCGAGGGTTGTGAGCTTGATTCCTTGGGGGGGGGGGGGGGGGCATATACGAGACAGCTGACCAATGATTCTCTCTCATCACTGATGTTTCTACATCTCTCTCCCTTCCTCTTTGAAATCAATAAAAACATATTTTAAAAATAAACAATTATCTATCTATAAATATATTCTATAAATATATAAAAGCCTAACCGACCAGCCGACCAGTAGCTATGATGCGCAACGACCACCAGGGGGCAGACGCTCAACACAGGAGTTGCCAAGAGACAGCAACTTTGCAGAGTGCCCTCTCACACTCTGAGACCCATCGGGGGATGTCAGACTGCTGGTTTCTGCCTGATCCCTGCAGGCCAGGCAGAGGGACCCCACCTGCTGGAGGGACCCCGTTCATTGCACAAAGGCCCTTGGAGCCCTGGTGCTGAGCCACACTTGGCCAGGGAGGGACCACAGGAGGTTGGCTCCAGGACGTGTTGGCCTCACCAGCCACCTTCTAATTAATTTCCTTTCAATGTGCACAAATTCATGCACCAGGCCTCTAGTACAGAAATAAATTTTTTTTATTTTTTATTTATTTATTTTTAAATATATTTTTATTGACTTTTTACAGAGAGGAAGGGAGAGGGATAGAGAGTTAGAAACATCGATGAGAGAGAAACATCGATCAGCTGCCTCCTGCACACCTCCTACTGGGGATGTGCCCGCAACCAAGGTACATGCCCTTGACCGGAATCTAACCTGGGACCCTTCAGTCTGCAGGCTGACGCTCTATCCACTTGAGCCAAACTGGTTAGGGCAAGAAATAAAAAAATTTTAAGGAGAAAAATAGAGGCTGTGCTGAAAGAACAAAGTAGAAAGCAGAGTCCTTAGTAACTGAAAAGCAGTGTTGAGAATACTCTTATCGAACTCTGCTTATAAGAGGACTCATTTCTTCCTTGATTAGATATGCCCTTCTGAAGATTTTGTAGGTAAGAAATAAAGAAATAAGGAGTAAGTCATAAAGAAAATAATAAAAGTGACAATGGACTACTTCTAATGGGCCATAACTTAGGAGAGATCTCCCACCACAGTTTTGGATGTGTGGTATTTGCTTAAAGAGCATGAGACTGGTAGGCAAGGAATCTGGGTCAACTTCATTCCTTCTCTTACTGTTTCTTAGGACAAATCACTTCATACTGATCCTCAGCTTCCACCTCTGAAAAAGTGGCACGGTACTTGGCTCACAGAGATCAATGCATACACACAGGAAATAGTCAACTAATGTTGATCTTTCCCCAGCTGATGGCTCAGGCGGCAGAAAAGGCAGTCAGGATTTGTTGGCAGTGCAGAGCAATTAAAAGGTTTGCCTTGGTGCTAAAATAAAATAAAATAAAATTTCTAGCTGAGAGAGAGAGACCCTTATTACCCCAGGCAAGTTTCTTTCTCCTTTCAGAGCTCATACAGCAAAGTACTTCGCATTTATATACATGTCATGCCTTGTGTCTTCAGTATCTACATTTCCACGTGTAAGATCTCATCTTTTAAATTAGATTTAACCCTCCTCCAAGAGTCCTGCACACACAATACCCTACCCCAGGCCCGCTCCTCCCAAGCAGCAGAGAACATGTGTCCACTCAAAGAGCACAGCGTGGGGTCGGCTGGTCCAGGGGCTCCCGCGACCCGGCTCTTGGGGCGGAGGCCTCTGGCAGCCGAAAGACAGACCTGGGAGGTGCCCCCCGAAGCCGCCAGCCTCTCCCCGTCTCCTCGCGCGCCGTCCGGGCTGCTTTTCCCACTCCCACCCAGGGGCCGGGCCTGCGGCGTTCACCGGCGCGGAGCGAAAGCTCGTGAAACATGTACGGGCACCGCGGAGGCCCCCGGGCGGCGGCGGCGGCGGCGGCGCGGCAGCCACACCTACTCGGCTGCGGCGGCGCGGGGGGCGCGGGGAGCCCGCAGGAGGCGCCCCGGCGCCGCCCCTCCTCCCCTCCTCCGGGAAGGCTCCGGCCCGGGACGGGGTCTGGGACCGGCGAGCACGTGAGCGTCTGCGAGGAGGAGCGCCCGGCTCGGGAGAGGGGGGAGGCCGCGCCGGGCCGGGCCCGCGGCCGGGGAGACTTGGAGGTAAACAGTCGGCGTCCGAAGCACGGCGGCCTCTCGCCCCGGGACAGGTGCTTCCCCAGAGCCCCCGCCCCCCCGCCCCCTCCCCCCGGTCCCCGCCGCCACTCACGGTGCTTGCCGCCGCCGCCGCCGCTCGGGTAGCTCAGCAGCAGGAAGGGCAGCGGGGAGCCCGGCGACGGCGGGGTCCTCCAGGCGCGCGGCTGCTGAGGCGGCGGGCGCGCTGCGAAGCCGGTGCCCCCATCGCCCGGGTAGAGCAGGAAGAAGGGGGCGGCCACCGGCGAGCCGGGCTCCGACTGCCCCCCGGGGGAGGCCGGCGGCGGCCCCGCCTCGCCCTCTGGGTCCGCGCCCGCGGTGGGAGCGCGGCCCGGCCGCTCCCCGCCCCTCGCCGGCTCCTCGCCCCTCGCCGGCTCCGCGCTGGAACTTTCCGCGCCGGCGGCGGGCGGCGGTGAGGGCTCGGCCATGCCTGCTCTCCCGCGCCGCCGCCTCCGATCGCGCCCGGCCTGGGCAGGGGGCGGGGTCACGGGGGGAGCCGCTGCCCCGTCCCGTCGCGTCCCGTCCCGTCGCGCCGCCGCCTCCGCCTTCCTCCTGGGCCGCGGACCGGCGTCTGGGCTCCGCCGCTCGGTCTAAGCCCGCCCCGCCGGCCCGAGCCAGCTGGAGGGACCGCCCCGCCCGACGGCGCGGCCTGCGTCCCGGCCGCCGCCTCCTCCCGGCTCCCCCAGGGGGCGGTGTCCGCCGCCTCCCGCCCGCGCGGCCCGGGGCCGGGGAGGGGGCGAGGCACCGAGAGGCGCTGGGTGTCACCGCCCCGCGTCCTCCGGGCGCGGAGGGACCGAGGTGTGGGTTGAAGAAGCGAAAGCCAATTTAAGCGAATTTTAAAGGACCCCCCCCGCCCTCCGCCCCGGTGTTAGACTGTGTCATTGCCTTTCACACACTAGAACTTTAAACGTTGGTTCGCGGGGTTGAATCGGGAGCTTTTCGGGTGAGCGAGCGGAGGGGGCGGCCGCCTTTCTCCAGCCTTTTGTTCCCTGGCAGGTGCGCGGCGCGGAGACCTGGGGTTGGGTTTGGCGTTAACTCCCTGGCTCCCGGCTTTCCCGGGCGCGAGTGCATTTCAGGCCGAACCGCTGAGCATTTGTCGGACAGGCGCCGTTCCAGGTCGGCAGTTGTCACTCCCCTGCCGTTTCCTTTGAGCATCTGCACCGGTGATTACCGACCCGGTCATCCCCGCGAGTAAACCTCCGATGGAGACCGTTTCCGGCGCCGACACGGTTCTCACGCTGGACTCCCCGTGAGTCCCCCGGGGGTTCCCAGCGGACGGGCTTTGTGTTCGGGTTGTAAAGTGCCGCCGTGGAACCCATGTTGACTCTTAATTAAAGGCGCTGTTGTGTAACATGTGCCCACCTGCTTTTTACTCGGGTCTGTTTTTACCTCCGAAGAGGAAGTCACTTCTCTAAAAGGAAAAGCACATCTTTTTACTGTTATTCTCTGAAAACCACTCTTGAAATCACCACAAGAGATTGCCATGTGGCTTTCACCAAATCTTTTAAGCAAGAACTATTTAAAAGGAAATGTTTACAAGACGCTAAAACTTCAAGCAGTCAGAAATTTTCTTAATAACTTTTCACTTTCTGGCATGTCCCTGACCTGAAGGACCTAGCGCTACCGCCTTCTTGAGTAAGCTGCCGTCTGAGCCTACATTCCTCTTCTGTAAAAATGATCAGATTACTTATAGGTATATTGTGGGGGTTCAATAAGAAATATAAGCTTTTAGACAGGGTCTGGCATAGGGTAAAATAAAAAACATTAGCTACGTTTTATTTTGGCAAAACAACATATAAATAAGAAAAACTCGATTGAGAAAAGCCTTTTCATTATATCTTTAAAATTTTGGAAGTTTGTTGGACCTTTTCATTTTAGTTGTGGTGATGGTGAGAGTATTGATAAAAAACAAAACAAGACAAAAAAAAAACCCAACCACATTTGCCTTTTAAGAAGTGCAAATTGTATAATACCCTGAAGAGAAAAATGAAAAGATCCCAGGTAAAGGCGGGTTTCAGTTATTACAACCTGACACAAAATCCACAATTAGTTCTAAAAGTGTGTTGTCTGCACCAATTTTCTCTTTAAAAAAACTTAAAAAAATTTTTTTCAATTATAGTTGATATTCAGTGTATTAGTTTCAGGTGTACAGCATAGTGATTAGATGTTTATATAACTCGCAAGGTGATTCCCCATAAGTCTAGAGCCCACCTGACACCACAGTTATTACAATAGTGCCAACTATATTCTCTATGCTGTACTTTACATCCCCTATTTTGCAACTACTAATTTATACTTCTTAATTCCTTCACTTTTTTCACTCAGCCCCCTAGTCCTGTATTATATGTTTTTAACACCCATCTTTAAGTGGATATTATTTTCCCTTGTTTTTTTTTTCATGCAGAAATTTTGAAGTATCATTATAATCTTGTCAGGTTCCTTCAGAGATGTTCTGCGTTGTTTCAGTAAAGAATTTGACAAGAATATAGCTATGCCATTGTAGGTGGAAGGAAAGAGAACAGAGCCCTCACAAACCACTCTTGAGAAAGGCCAATAAGCAGCCAAGGGAGTCATCAGTTTAAAGAACGAAATGCTATCTAGTCTAAATTGCTAACTTTCTCCTTTCTAGTTAGCTAAGATACCTATAGGTATTAGAAACTTTGACATGCTGTGAAATCTTGCAGTTATTAAAAACAGTTCTATTTATACCTTATGTCATTAATTGGCAGTGTAATGAATATAGAAAATGCTGAAATATGAGTCCTCTAAATTTTATAGGGAACGCTATTTATGAGCACTTTCTTTAAAGGTGGATGATACTCCAAGTTCCTAGTTTCTTATGCTTTTAGCTTTTGGACCAATGATGTAATCACAGCCCTGCATAACCTCTGGTGACAAAGGGATGATTCAGCTGCTACACACACATTTAGGGAAGCCAAGATTATAAAAATAAGCCTGAACATGTTGCTCCATCTTGAAAATGCACAGAGCATCTTCCTGTAGTTTTAAAGTGACAAAATCCAAGCCATGGTAAAAATCAAGCTCTATTTTCTTGTCATATAAAGCAAGGGATGTTTTTCAACTTATCTGCATTTTATTTTTATTCACATTTGGTTTTTTGAAACCCTGTGGTGATCTTAAGGACGGACACTTAGAATATATTACAAAACATTTGAGAGATCAATGTAATGGATGTACATTTAGCATAAGCTTCTTAGAGCTGTGATCAGAGAAAGTATGACACTTGAGAAGAGTTGATATTCTTCAGTTTAGTACATAGATGTATTATGATTCTAAAATAATGGTTTTCTTGAGCCATTTATTTTTCATTGTGTGGTATTTAGGAAAAGTCTTATTTGAAAACAAGGCAATTTAAGACTTGATATTAAACTTCTCATTTTAATAAATGCAGGAATTTATTTGTACTAATCGATAATAATAAAAGCACAATATGCTAATTAGACTGGATGTCCTTCCGGACAAAGCTGGGGCTGTGAGGGAAGCCCAGGTCCGGGTGCCTGCAGGCGGCCGAAGGAAGGCCTACTCTTGCACGAATTTCTTGTGCATTGGGCTTCTATTTAGTTAATATAAAGCCTCTGTGAAAAACTCTCTTAAGAGTCCATCCTTCTTTGCTTTTGAATTACTAGGTTTTGATTACCGTTATTGCTATTTTGATTACTATTTGGTTATTTCCAGTATTAATTTCAAAAATACTTAGTCAATATATACCTTCTTTCCATGTTTATTGTATCTATAATACTCTTAAGAAATACACTATTCTTAATACAACAATGCACTCTCAATAAATACCTTCATCCTAAACAATGTGTTTAGTCTAGGTCAAACACTGGCAGTTTTCTCTGGGTGGTAGAAATATGGATGTATTTTTCCATTTTTCTACTCTATTTGCAAGTCTATAATGAAAGTGTTAACTTTATTAGAAAATAATAAAACATCTTGAGAGACTATTTTGATTAACAGTTTGATAATTTTTTTTTTTATGATCTGCTAATAGCAGAGTTTGTGTTCCTTGTGTATACTGTGGAGTAGAATTCCTACCCTATAGGAACTTATCATACTTTGTGTCTATTTAGAGTTTTAATACCTTTTCATTTTTTAAATATGTATTTTTTTGTTGAGTTCCAAGAGGAAGGGAGAGGGAGAAATAGAAGCATCAATGATGAGAATCATTGATCGGCTGCCTCCTGCACTCCACACTGGGGATCAAGCCCTGGCCAGGAATTGAACTGTGACCTCCTGAGCCACACTGCCCGGGCTAGTTTTAATATCTTAATAGTGTTGCTGAAACTGGTTGATTGCTTTTGCTGACTTTCTATAAGTTTATCTACAGTTTGTTCCAATTTTCATGTGCTCTTTTTCAAATTTTCTACATTTCTCTCAAATCTGCCTCTCAATTCGTTCTCTTTGCTCTAACTGAAATCTTCATCTTTTCTTGCCTGTGTTTTTTCCTAGCTGGTATGCAGGAGAGTTTCAAGAGGAAGGGAGAGAGAAGGGGATACGGAAAGGGGAAGGGAGGGGGAGGGGGAGGGGGGGAGCAACATCAGTGTCAGAGAGACCAGGCCAGGGATTCAACCTGCAACCCAGGTATGAGCCTCTGACTGGGAGTCAAACCCACAACCCTTTGGTGTATGAAGGGACACTCTGACCGCTTAGGCACACCAGCCAGGGCATACTTCTGTTTTTGTGTATGTTCAAGCGTGATGTGATATTAGAAATATATGTCCAAGCCCTGGCTGGGTACCTCAGTTGGGTTATAGCGTTGTCTGGATACACCAAGGTTTCGGGTTTGATCCTTCGCTAGGGCACATACAAGAATCAACCAATGAATGTATATATAAGTGAAACAACAAATTAATGTCTATCTCTCTCTCAAATCAATAGATTAAAAAAAAGTTTCAAATGAGAAAATACACTAGGTCAGTGGCCGGCAAACTGCGGCTCACGAGCCA